CTCAGTGTTTACTCTCTCGATTCTCCGTCTCCCTCAATGTTTGATGACCGACCCAGTGTTTCCCTCCGTATCCTTGCGTATTGACTGTCCGTCTCACTGTGCAGTGTTTAATATCTGTCTTTCAGTTTTCAATCTCTATCTCGTGTTAAATAGTTCTCTCTGTATTTAATGTCCGTCCAACTCCTAGTGTTCAATATCTGTCTCATCGTTTATTTTCCGTCTCGCTGTTCAATCTCCGTATCTCAAGGTGCAAGGAGTGTATGATTGTAAACGTTTTGGATTTAGCTACAGATTTTGGAACTTTCCGATGGTAGGTAAATTCTCACCTACTTAACAGATTTTTCAGCGGAGTTTCATTGCAGTGTTTAAGGGTTCTCGGATAATGCTCTTATAAATTCATTATTTTACATCTGTGTTTCATTTTGTAAAAAAGATTTCAAGTATAAAGATGATGACAATGACATGTCCGTTCTATAATTCGAACCGAAATATTGATTATGCAAACTTAGTCCGAGGAGGTGTTCTAGCAAATGTCCACGCTGTCTTGTTGTTTACGTAAGCCGCTGTGCGTGACATTGTTAAGAAGTAAAAGACGCGCATTGCGCGCGCGATGTTTTGGTCATTTAAATAAAATGACCCTCCTCGGCCGAATGACCCTCCTCGGCCACGTGAGTATGGTTTTTATTTTATTTTTAAAAATGACCCTCCTCGGCCATGGCCGAGGAGGGCCATTTCTTGTTTGGCCCTGCTCGGCCATGGCCGAGGAGGGCCATTTTTGTCATATTGTTTGGCCCTGCTCGGCCATGGCCGAGGAGGGCCATTTCTTGTTTGGCCCTGCTCGGCCATGGCCGAGGAGGGCCATTTTTTTCATATTCTTTGGCCCTGCTCGGCCATGGCCGAGGAGGGCCATTTCTTGTTTGGCCCTGCTCGGCCATGGCCGAGGAGGGCCATTTTTGTCATATTGTTTGGCCCTGCTCGGCCATGGCCGAGGAGGGCCATTTTTTTTTCGTATTGTTTGGCCCTGCTCGGCCATGGCCGAGGAGGGCCATTTCTTGTTTGGCCCTGCTCGGCCATGGCCGAGGAGGGCCATTTTTTTCATATTGTTTGGCCCTGCTCGGCCATGGCCGAGGAGGGCCATTTCTTCGTCATATTGTTTGGCCCTGCTCGGCCATGGCCGAGCAGGGCCATTTTTAAAAAATGACCCTCCTCGGCCGAATGACCCTCCTCGGCCACGTGAGTATGGTTTTTATTTTATTTTTAAAAATGACCCTCCTCGGCCACCATACTACTGCCCATGTTTTCGCAAATTCGTACCGTAGTGTGAAAATCTAGCGCTACATCGAATTCTGTCATAATTTCACAATAATAATGAATACCAATAATCTCAAGGTGTGTGCTTGTCTGTTCGTTCGCGTGCAATTTCCGAGCGGCTTAATCAAGAAAACAGTCAGGGTCTGGTTTTTTTTGGTACAGCGCCAATAAAACTCTGACCAAGCCCGATGATCAAGGTGGTAGGTGGTAAGCGGTTTAATTCATCATTTCTTGACCCAAGTGTGATACTGAAATGTATATGTGTGTGTGACGTGTGTGTCCTCTCTCACTCTCGCTCTCTCTCCCTCCCTCTCCCCTCTTGAATCACAACTATAACGTTACTACATTGATACTAGGACCTACTAAAATCAAAAGAAAATGCAGCCACACAGTTTGTTGCTAACTGCTAAGCTTTCTCTTCTCCTACGATTGACTATAGTGGAACCATCTTTGGCAAACTTAGGAACTTAGGACTATCACAAATACCGTTCTGTAAGTTTGCAAGGCATGTGGACGAAGGGGGTCGAGAGTACTCGACTTGAAAGTGGGTGTTAAGAACTTAGCTTAGCTAAGGATAGTGACGTCCAGAAGATGAGGCAGTACTGAAGGGGAAGTAATGTCACAAGGAGATGGGTAGGGAGAGCACTATAATAATCATCTTTGTGATAGTTCATCAATTGCAATTTGTGGTTGAGAGCGGAAGGTAGTGATGCTGTCATCACTATCATCTCTTAACATGGTTGGTTACTAGAGGAATGCTCTTGTAGGCTTTCTATCTAGGAACAACTGTACAGTGGACAGGAGAAGATTATGTGGTAGTTGATGTCTAATACCTGACAATTTGGACACTGAAAAATCAAATCAAATCAAATCAAAATATAATGACACAAACATCATCACACATCATCAAAAATATATCTACTAAAGTTTTAAAAATATCTTAAATCTATTGGCCTAAACAACCAAGATAAAATGAATCTAATTTACATACTTTCCACTACTATATAAGTTAATAAAGCGTTTCTTAGCAACATGAGGATGACACACAAGATATTCATTGTGCTTCTCTTTATTAGTAGCATAATTTAATCCCTCAATCTTTCCTAATACTTCGTCCGAAACATACCAAAAATGAATATCATTTACGGATCCGTTTAAAATAGTCTCTTTTTTGAAAGCCTCTAATCTTATTTTAAAACTTAACACAGTCCCACAATTCTTGACATCCGAGGGGAGTTTGTTCCAATATGGTCTCACCCTCTCCGGAAGAAAAGAACTGTGGACTTTCTTCATTTTACTGCTACTTTTACTGCATCTACTGTTTGATACCACATTAAGACCAGATCTGCTCATTCTGAACAAACCAGCTCCGTAATTGGCCAAACCACTTATCATTTTAAAAGATTCAATGAGGTCCCCACGTATTCGCCGCTCTGCCAGCGTTGTCAAATTGAGGATTTCCAGTCGACGACTGTATGGAAGAGTACCCACCTCGTCAATCAGACGGGTAAACCGCCTCTGGACTCTCTCCAGCTCCAAGATGATCCCCCAACTTCCATGAGCCGCAACTGGACTCCACTGAGGGTCGCAGTTGCTGGCCATCCTTGCTCCTGGACATTTGTCAGAAGGTATATTTTGCTCTAGTTCAGTTCATTGATTGAAATAAATTTTCGTGCACATACAGAATGAATGGTTAATAATTTAATATATATGTAGACCAAGGTCTGTGCACGGGATGCTTCCTGAAAGAATCCAGTTCTTTTAGTGGGGCACCCTACCTAAAGCCAAATTGAGATATAATAATCATATTCCTAGAGAAATAATCAGAAATCGAATACCAATCAAATAATATGATATATAGGAGTAGTAACCATATTTACTATGCAAAATGCCCCAACCACATAGTGTAAATTTATATAGAATTCAAATTCCATATCATCATTAAACCTCAATAGTCAATATAATAGCCCAAGCAAAATTAAATAACTTCTTATATTGATTGATTGAAATAAATTTTCGTGCACATACAGAATGAATGGTTAATAATTTAATATATATGTAGACCAAGCTCTGTGCACGGGATGCTTCCTGGAAGAATCCAGTTCTTTTAGCGGGGCACCCTACCTAAAGCCAAATTGAGATATAATAATCATATTCCTAGAGAAATAATCAGAAATCGAATACCAATCAAATAATATGATATATATGAGTAGTAACCATATTTACTATGCAAAATGCCCCAACCACATAGTGTAAATTTATATAGAATTCAAATTCCATATCATCATTAAACCTCAATACCTAGTCAATATAATAGCCCAAGCAAAATTAAATAACTTCTTATATACCTTACTGTCATACTACAAATTAATTAAACATTTGAAATCTGTTGACCAGAGAATAAATTTCTAAGCCTAATGCAAGTGAAATAATTTAGATGCAATAATGAATGCCTAATGTGAGTATCATTTGTCAATGTCCTTGTAAAAAAGTCTGTACAAGAGATATGAGTAACTAATATAGAAGAAAAAACAGGATACCTTACTGTCATACTACAAATTAATTAAACATTTGAAATCTGTTAACCAGAGAATGAATTTCTAAACCTAATGCAAGTGAAATAATTTAGATGCAATAATGAATGACTAATGTGAGTATCATCTGTCAATGTCCTTGTAAAAAAGTCTGTACAAGAGATATGAGTAACTAATATAGAAGAAAAAACAGGAAGTTGTCGTCTGTTGAAAAATAAATAAAATATCTAGAATATGAATTAATATAAAATAACATTCAGTCAATGTGTCGTCAATAAACTGTACAATTATCAAATGTTAAAACTGGGTGATACAGTCACCAAAAATAAATACTAAGTATAATAAGTAAATAAATTAAATGTGGTCTATAAAACTACCACTAGGTATAATAGGTCAATAAATTAAAAGTGGTTTATAAAACTACCACTGTGCGAACCCTTTCTCCAGTTAAAACATGTCAGTCATGTGCAAAATCAATCAAAATGGTAAGGTGGTAAAAAAGGGAAAATCCTTTCGATACATCATCATTGGACCTAGTTGTCCAATGTTCACGTTAGAAACTTACGAATCTCGTTAATATAGTGCCGGTGGGCATTTGCCTCTTCTAGCTGCAAGATGAGCCCTTCCTTAAATGGGTCACTTGTAAGTGATTTCATTTTCAATTTTATAGTGACCATCTTGTAGGATATCTCAAGGGGTGGAATCCCAATTGGGACAGAGGTCAATCCTTGGGAGGATGATGAGTGGCCCTGCTTATCTTCAAGAGGACCGTGGCAATAATTTGGCAACATGCATCAACATTCTTATTGTGCTTGAGGAACTGAATCAAATCAGAGAGACCTTATGCCTATTTTCATGCTGCGTAATAGCTCTTTATCTCTGTGTTTTATCCAATTGGTGTTTCTTAAATCTTCATCATTCCACTAACCAATTTTCCTCCTTAATCTTAGCAATGGAATACAGCTCAAAATGTACTGTCATTACCACCAAATGTAAGCACCTCACCTCTGCGAAATATCAATACACGGGCTAATAGGGAAAATAAAGGGTATATTTGAGAGGTTTTTAACTGTATTCATTAAATTCTATTTAGTCGTTTACATTAAGATCACTTCTGTTGAACATGCACAATTTTAACCTATAACCATTTTATAGCTGCCACATTATGTCTGACACAGAGCAGTACGATGCTTCAAACGACACACTTAACGACACTAATGACTTGATGAACGATTCAGTGGAGGATGCCGAGCTGGAGGCTATCAAGGTGGGTAACAGTTTTCACCTATCTATACTATATTTTAAACTTGACGAAATCCCCCCGGCAACGACCTAAAAATGACCCTCTGGTGTCACCAATTTAAGCTCGCTAATGGAGTTGAAACCTCGCCATTTTTAGCAGTTTTGTAAAAAAAGATAAGAATAGTCTATAGCATTCTTAGAATTTTTATAAAGTCTTTAGATTTTGTATAATTAACCTCGGAAGTGAGGTAAAATAAAGGTTAGAATAAAGTCGTAATTTCATCAAAGGTTACCTGCGCCGTTGCTGATTATAGCTACATCAAGAGATTGCACGTGCGCAAGCAAGAACAGATTAGCAACGCGTGCACGTGTTGCCATGCTCTATGATACGTCATAACTAGCTCACATTACAATTTACGCTATGACTATCCATAACTTTGGTTGTGATTGATGTTTTTTGATGCGGTAAAAAGTATCGATTAGGGAATACTTAGATAAAACCTTATCGTTGTCGGCAAATAAAAATCCATACAATTTATATTACGGAGCTAGATCATAGATAGATAGATGATGGCAAGAAACTATAAAACTATAACATAACTGATATTCAATTTCCTTGAATAAAGCCTTCAGCTAGCGGATGTACAGGTTTGAGAAAGCCTATGAGCTAAGTAAGCAGATAACTTAGTGTTTACCATATTATAAGGCACAACACCCATACTCGGAAAAAGCTTTAAAATCGTGCAAGAAAAATGTATGGTCAGGAACAGGTTGTAATAATACGCAATATTGAAACTGCCCCTTTGATCACGAATCAATACGAACAAAAAGGTAGATTGATAACAGCGTGAATATGAGTTATATACGATGAGCTATAGGAATGAATAGATATGTTTCGATCTGTAAGGCCCCGGCCGGAGGTACCGAATAAGGAAAATTCCGCAATTCTCTACCCACAATAAAATTGTTACCTTTTTAAAATAGACAACATACATATGACATGTTCTATAATTTCAGCTCATGGGCCTCCAGACCATCTGATGATTGCAGTGAAGCATGAATTAGGTGAGATAACAAAGGATGGATTGAAATTAAATTGTCACTTTGAATTTTACACACCCACCTCAGGTCCATTATTTGTCCAAGTTTTTAAAACCAATAAGCCATATATTTTTATTATTGAAAAATTCAAAACAATTTTAGCTTGCCCACCCCGAGAAATTGGTGAAAGATATAAGAAAGTCGATAAAAAAAAGGTGAAAAATTAAATGAATGAAGCATTAAATAATTTTTAAAACACCTACAAATTGAAATATTTACATGATATTGGCACCTAGAAGCAGTTTCATTTATTGATGGTTATGTACCTAATATTGCTAATATTATGATTTTAACAAGTCTGTAATCCCAAACCGTATCTCAGGGAGGCTCCAGCTGACGAGGTCTGGCTGTTTTTGATCAGCTCAATAAGCAATTCTCAAGACGGACAAATTCAATCATGCTCCTAGTCCACCTCACTCTTTGTTATCTCTAAAAATGTCTCCAAGAAGCAAGAAAGTGATTCCAAGGAGGACAGTCAGTTATCCTCTTATATGCACTCAGCATTTGAAAGAACTGATTATTCAGTGGACAAACATCATCAACCAAATAGATTGCAACTATGAAAAAGTTCCTGCGGTGGTTTAACTGATCATTAATAGTGATTCAGAAGATGAATAATATGAATAATCCCAGTAGAAGAACTTGCCAATTGACAAACACACAGAAAAATGTTCTGGACATGACTTTTGAATATGATGAGGTGGCCAGAGAGTTGAGAAATGAAAAAAGCCAAGAAAGCGTAAAAGCTGCAGACCCATGGAGGTTTGTAAAGTGGGCAGAATTTAAAAAACGATAGCTAATATAAACTGACACGAAGAGATTGCAAGAATCTGCTCATGTCAGTGTGATGAACTCCACCAACAAAAATGCTGACGTTTTAACTCCCAACTATACTGACAATAGCGATAATGTCCCTGTATTCTAGAGCCCAGGACACAAGAAATGATAATGACGAGATAAACAGCTCTGAAACTCATAAATCTCCCACCTAGTCGAACAGAGAGACAGAAAACAGCGGAAATCTGAAACAAGTAAAAGCTTTAAGCTGAAAAAATTGTAGCAGAATCAAAAAAATCAGCTGCACATAAAAACTAAAACAACATTGCGAAAATGTTCGACTCACTGAAATCTCTCCTCCAGCTAACAACGTATGTGAAATGTGAAACTAGATCAGCACCTAAAATGATGATGAGGAACCGATTAAAGATGAAAATGTGAGTCACCTCCCAGTTGCTAATAGTCAGCCTAAGGACAAGTAAACAAGTTCAAATGTTGTGCAAGCCCCTAAATTACGTCTACTTCCGAACCAGCAAAAGACTGAGCAAACGCTCAGGCACTCTTCATCTAGGCTGAGATCCAAATCCTGAATTCATATCATACCCATTCCCGTGCAGGAGAAATCACAAAAACATGTGAAGTACCAAGCCCCTGAATGAGACAGAAGAGATAAGATCTAGATGTACCGGCACCAGTAGTTATTCGACGACATATAGTTGATGACAACTCAATAGAAGGTCTCCCAGAACGCGAACGGGTGGTCTACCATGAGAAAGTTCGGAGGATAGTGTTAATAGTACAAGGAGATCTGTCGACGTTAGAAGTCAAATCCTAAATACCTTTCGAATACTTCTGATTCCACTAAAACAAACCCCACAATCCCTATGAGTATGTCAAGTAATCGATTTATCCCCTCTTAGACCAACCTATCAGATGGAGGTCGGCCATAGCAATCTGGTTGATGTTCTGACGGCGATATATTATGCACCACAAAAGGTCTGCAAAAAGTGTTTTTGACCACTAAAACATCTGATAACAGCGTCAATGATACAAGAAAATCTGTAGAATGAAAAGGACTAACCCTAAATACGTTCTGTAATGCACCAGCCAACAAAAAAGCCTAGCACAAAATCCCAATGTTACCACTGCTGAGACATCACTGTTGCACGAACAATCTGATAAAGAAAACGCTTCCCACAGCCCCGACCATGTTCGGTGAGTGAGTACAGCACTACAGAAACTCCTGATGTGAAGAAACCATTGACAAGGCGAAAAAAATGCACCGTTGTTCCGACGACTACAGATACAGAAGACTCCAGCTAAACAGGTTCTCAACAAGAGCCCTCAACAAGATAAAGAATACTAAGAAGGCAATACAGCTGTCATGATGTTTCTATAGTAACGAAAAGAAGATCAGATAGTAATGCAACTCCATCGAATGAATCAGGCAAAACTTCCCTTTCTTTTTGTTTCTTTTTAACTTTGTTCCATAATAATATTAAGATAAACATAATAAAAATCGGTCCAAACGAGGACTTATAAAAAGTATTCATTACCAACCCATGACTCAATGCCATTCACTGCATAATATCCCGAAGTTTAAACAAAGCAACTCAAGAACATACATTCCCAATTCTTGTAACTATACCCAATTCTTTAAAAAATCAATTATTTTTATAATCATTCCTCCTGATGCTAATTGCTATTAGTATAGTTACTGATATTTTTTCTGTACCGAGCAATATTTGTATACACCTTCTTTGAGCATGTACAAACAAGATAAATCAATTATTATGTCGGTGGCATCAGTAACACAACCGTTCTTAGATCCCTGCCAAAAACAACGATTGAAAAGTAATATGATTTGCATTGCATTATAGTGTTTTTCTAACTGCACATGCGACTGGCAAATTATAAATTACCATGTTCAAAAACAATATTTTACCTGCTCATGCCTCTACCTATTTTCCCCCCCTCCCACCATCTCCAAACACACCTCTAGAAGATGCAATTATGGGATAACACTTAAAACGAGAATTAGTAGAAAAAATCCAGATACCTTTCAAATTTCTCCATCTCTGTAAAAATTTGGAGCCAACTTCTTTCGTTTGATGTTCCAATTGTAGACCAACCATCCTGATAAACAGACAATAGTTATTCGATGGCAGTGCCCGACAAAAACGTAGTTCCCATCTTACTTAAATCCTAATCAAACTGACCTCCACCTCATCTCACGACCAATCGTTGGTGAGGAAAACACTGCTTTTGCTCAGTTCATCGACCGGTCAGTAGTGAGTACAACTCTAAAGAAACTGTCACTTGCGACCGAAACTACAGGCCCAAATCATCCCGAACAATACAGAGACAGAGAACAGCCAACAAATCATGGTTTTTTAAGAGTTTAAACCTTCCAAGAGGAGAAAAGCAAGGAGGGAAAAGGAGCATTATATTAGTATTAGCAAGAGAAACAAGAACATGGCTGTTTTCTCGAGAATGTAAGATAATTAACCTTGTAAATTTTATATCTCCACCCAAGGCCCCAAGTCCACTTTTGATAAATTAATTGCTAAAATAAATAAATTGCTAAAATGAAATTAATTGCTAAAATATGAGTGCAAATTTTTGAAAAAAAATAAGCTTGCCGACTAATAACAATACCCATCATGTGAAAGTCCTAACTAGTTTAACCATCGCTTCTGGCTCAAACTTATCAGTTCATCATAGTCATATAAGAACTTTTTGATAGAATTTAAATGTTAAAATATAAGATTGTTATCATTCCACTATCCTCACTGAAAGTTATCTTCCGCCATCTGCCACCGAGACGACCAGGCGAGGTCCGGACCACTGCAAGTTTTATCTCCGCTGCCGTATCTAGATCTGTAGATAAAGAACACATTCACATGTTTATCATGGTACCCCCAAGAGAACAATTAACTTAGTTATAGGCTATCATTAACGGAGGCATACGTACTTTCTCTAAATTGGGTGAGTTATAAATTAAGTTTCAATTATGGAACTCGAGTCGTCCAAACATCAACACCGTTGAAATTTTTATATAATTTTTATAAGCTTCTAAGTTCTATTATGGCATCCATTTCATAACCATGGTATTACATGTAATAATAATGGTAGAGTAAACAATAT